GCATTGTGAATACAGACTCCATCTAAATTTGGAGGATTATTTTCTTAATCTTTTACAGTTGTCTAGTCCACCACTGTAATACTTCAACAATATTTATCATCTTTTTCTTTTCTTATCTTAAAGTTTATTCAATTTATTTCTTTCATGGGAGAGAATACACTAGAAAGACAGGCTCCCTGGACAGGGTCTCATCATGCCATAATCCCCTTCCTACAGCTCTAGCTAATCAGCATCTCAGGCACCCAAGCCCAGTGTATTTCAGGTTGACTTTGGATCCAAACTTGAGGTCTGCCATGTGACTTCCAGCACTGCAGATCAGTATGCTACCATCTGTGCCACTGGAAACCTCTAAACTATGTAATTGCAGTACTACCTGGCTAAAACAGGTTTGAGAACATACAACTGACAGCTGTAACATACACAAAACTGATAGCCAATGGGTCAACACAGCGGACACATTGTATATTTGTGCACAAAATCCTGAGAAAAGAATGGAGGAGAAGGGATTATGGCATGGCTATACCCCTGGGGGAGTGATTTCTCACTTTCTTTGTCTTTACTTCTCTCTGTCTCTCTCTGGCAAACACATACGCCCCATAGCAAACTAAAACACAAAACCCCCGTAGAAAACTAAAACACAAAACTTTAAGTTCATGGGGGTCATGCATACTTACAGATATTTCTTTATTTTGAGGCTGTTAGAACCTCTTGTCAGAGTGTTTCACAGAGAGAATGAAGACTGGCTCGTCTGGTGAGTATGAAGTAGATATCAATTCAGAGAGCTTCAACTGTCATTGCTAGATTAGAATGAGAAAAAAATAAATCCCAAGATCCTGCAGTATAGAGTTGAGAGAAGAATAGTAAATTTTCAAAAGAAAAACAAGGCCCGCCCAGTGCCAGAGTGGTTAAGGGAGTCAGATGCAACATGGCTAGTTGCAATTCAAATCCTGCCCTGGTAGCTTGAGAAACAGCTGGACATGTGTGTGTTTGCTCCAAATCCTGACAGAAGGGAGAAATGGAGGAGAAAGGATTGTAGTGGGACTATACCACACTGAGGAGCACTTTCTCACTCCACCTACACCCTGTCTCTCAGCCTCCCTTTGGTAAGTGCATGCACCCTCTGGCAATTAAAAAGGAAAAGAAAGCAAAGCAAGGGAAAGCATTGTGATGAATTATGAGTACTAGAACTTATTTCTTAATCCTCTTCATCTTCCAAAACATTGATACATGATTAAAATCTGTACCAAGGACTTTGGAGAGCAAAGTTAAAATGGAAAGAGTCTAAGAAGAGACATTTGAACATGCGTATAACATGACCTAGCAGGAGCAGAAGTATTGATCTGACTTAACAGGGATGGGCACTCAATGGCTGAGAGCCTTTGCTGCTGGAGGGAGATGATTAACACAAAGGGCTCATCTTCAGTGTCCACAGATTATGCCTGCTCTCCTGCCCTTTCCGCTGTGGTTCCTGTTGACAGTTCCCCCTCACGTGATACTTCTTTGTGGTTCCTAGAAATACTTTATTATCCGAATGAGAGTGGTTCTATTTTATAATCGTAGTCCTTGTCTAGGTTTCCCCACCAACATTAAAGAAATCTGTTTTCAGGTGCCAGCGGTGGCATGGTAGTTAAGGCACTAGACTCCCACATAGCCAACCATGGTTCAAGTCCTGGACCTGGTGACTTGCTTTCTCACTTTCCCTCTGTCACTCTCTCTGTCTCTCTCTGGTGAGTGCATGTGTTCCATAGCAAGTTAAACAACAGTAATAATAATAAATTAAATTAAATAAGTAATTCTTCAAAAAAGGAAATCTGTTTTCTATCCTTCGTAGTATGGAAAACAAAATGATTATGGATCATTTCCTTTTAGGAATATGAATTCATATGTACGGATTTTATCCACCTTCCTCTGTGGGCACTTGTTCTGATTCTTTTAATTCAGTTATTTATTCATAAAGAAATGGAATAATAACATTTATTAACAGCCTTTATGGAAATTTTAATGACATGAAGTTGATAAAGATGAGTTGATCAAGATGTACTCATCTTTATCAACTTTGCATGTGTGTGGTCAGAAGAGATTTTTAAATTTTTATTTTTATTGCTATGTAATTTAAATACCATGAAATTCACCCTTTTAAAATGTACAATTTAGTGGCAGTATCTTTCCAGGGTTGTGCCACCACCACTGCCTAGTGTCAGAACTTTTTCATCACCCCAAAATTAACCCCATTATTTTAAAATATAATTTATTTAATGACTACTTGTAAAACTGAGCTCATGGGCTAGCCAAGTGGCATGGTGCTTAAGGCATCTGGAGTCCATGTGTACTTCAAGTCCTGGACAGGTGGCTTGAGCCACATAGCAGGTACATATTCACATGTGCCCAAAATCCTGAGAAGAGAATGGAGGAGAAGGGATTGTAGCATGGCTATGCCCCTCAGGGGGTGATTTCTCACTTTCTCTCTCTTTGCCTCTCTCTGTCTCTCTCTGGCAAGCACATATGCCCCATAGCAAACTAAAACACAAAAACCAAAAAACTTAAAGTTCAGCAGAGTGATTGTCACCGTGTCTTATATTATCTAAGAACTATATGTGAGAATAATATCCTCCATACAAGCCCAGATTTCATTGGTGAGATATTCTGGTTTATTTGAAAAAAAGAAATTAATATTCTCATTTTGAATGTACACACAGGCTTCTTCAATTTGGAATGGGAGAGAATTCAATGGTTGTAGATGAAGTCACTATAAACAGTGGTTTTTATCAACCTAGTAAACTATAGACAGAGCTCCTGCCTAGACCAAGCAAGTCAAAACAACTCATACAGTCAAGTAAGGGATGCTGTCCTTGTGCACAGAAGTCACATTACAGAAACTATTCTCCTAAGTGTGGGAATTTGTCCCTTAGAAATTGCTCATTGGAACACTTGGACATCATGCATCATGTTAAAGATCTATAAATGCCATCTCGATAGGGTAGATATGATACATGATAATATCCTCTGCATATCTGCATAGGGTTCCTCTTCTCATTGCATCATACACGCCTGCTCTAGTGCTCTGGAGACAGCTGAGGAGCCCCATGGGAGCCTTCTGAAGTCGTTGCAACAAGGACTCAAATGCCAGGAAACCTGGAAGTCATTCTCAGGAACTGACAAAATACCCTATTTCCTAAATGAAACTATTTATTATGTAGTTGGTGAGAAGTATGAATACAGTATTTTACGGTCGAATGTATCTTTTTATTGAGCAAAATAAGGATCCATTTCTGGTTATGAGATGAACAGAATTTGAAATCTAGCAGCACTATATTGTTCCTGTTACTTTGCCAATCTAGAGTTTCTTGAGGAGAGGGATTTGTTATCGTATTAAATATATGCATTCTGAGGGGCAAGTCCCATAGTGCAGTGGTTAAGTCCTATGCACACAGAGGCAGATTCCACATGGCTGACAGCCATTCGAGTCCTGGCTCAGTGGCTGAAAAACACACAAAATGCATGTGTGTGCATGCCCCAAATTCTGATGGGATGAAGAAATGGAGGAAGAAGGATTGTGAAATGACAATACCCCATTGGTAGGGGTGTTTTTTCTCTCTCTTTCTCTCTCATACACATGCCCTCTAGCAATAAAAAAGAAGAACATGCATTTTTGGGGTCAAGTAATGGTGCAGTAGTAATGCAGCTGGACACACATGGGCAATGTCTTCAGTTTGCATCCCACAGCCTCCCTGAGTGTGCCAAGAATGCATACGCAGGTTGACTGAGACTAGGACTGGAACATGGTGTGACAATGCTGTTAATGATTGCCTGGGTCTCTGTCTCTGTCTAAACCCCAAAATAAATAAATAAATAAACTTAAAAGGAAAAAAATAAAAGACTATGCACTCCGGAGGCAGGCAACCAGTGTATGTATTCCAGGTTCCTTGGAGATTTGGCAAGGTGTAACCTGTGCAAGTTTTTTTTTTTTCCTTATGTGTAAAATATGAATTCTCCAACAACCAGCCTCCGGTAGTTGTTGTATAGAAACAAAATCAGTTTTTGTGTGAATAGAAGTCACCACAGCATTAGAAAGTGCTCAGTACCACTATTTAATCCATGAATAAATGTCCATTGTTGTGATACCTCCATAACAGAGTGTCTGTTTGGACTGCTGTAACAAACATGCCATAAACTAGGTAGCTTATAACATCAGGCATTTATTTCTCACAACTCCGGAGGTTAAAAAGGCTAAAGCACCCACAGATTCCATGTCTGGTGAGGGCTTCTTCTTCATTCTTAGCATCTTTTTGCTGCTTTCTCACATAGTGGAAGCAGTTCTCTCAGATCACGCTAAGGAAACTAATCCTAAAACCCACCGCCCCAAATGCCCCAGTTTTTAATATCATTGCCTCAGGGCTAGCAATATTTATTTATTTATTTATTTATTTTATAGTTTCCAGGTGTCTACGTTTCTTTACTTCATTTTTTAAGAGATTTTTTTGCAATAGGGTGCATGCACTCACCAGAGAGAAAGAAAGCAAGGAATAACCCCCCAGGCGGGAATGGCCACATCTTGATCCCTTCTTCTCCATTTTCCTCTTGGGGTTTTGGGTTTGCATGCATATGCACCTGGTACGAGTTTCAAGCCACCAGGTCTGGGGTTCAAACTGTGTTCAGCCACATGGAAGTCTAGCACCTTAACCACTCTGCCACTTACTGGCCCTCACTTTCCTTTATTTTTATTTTTCTATTTCTTTCATGAGAAAGAAAGACAGAGAAAAATCAATTGCCCCCACCTCCAACAACAAGGTCCTCATGCCATGATCCATCCCCAGCTCCAGCCAGCCCTAATCATGGGCACACATGCACATACCCAGCATGGATAGGGAAGCCTGATGATGTTAACTCAAGACCTTCCCATGTGGGTCCAGTTGTGTTATCACTGCCTTATTGTCTGACCCTTATGTTCCTTTGCTTTCAACATGCTCATCTTCCAATTTGTTCTTGGCTATTTCACACAGGCACTTCGAGGGGAAATTGCACCTCTTAAAGAGAATGTAAGCCACGTCAATGACCTTGCTCGCCAGCTTACCACGCTGGGCATTCAGCTCTCACCATATAACCTCAGTACTCTGGAAGACCTGAACACCAGGTGGAAACTTCTGCAGGTAGGCACATTAAGAGCATTGATGCTTTTTGTTACAATAGAATAATATATACATGAAGCTTGTTTGTGAAGAACAGTAAAAGTAATTATTTCATGTTCATGATAATATTTGTGATGATAAGATATTTTACATTATTTGATAAGTTTCTATATAGGCCTTCTGAGCTACTAATATTTAGAAGTGGCTAAAAATTAGAGTTTGGTATATTTTTTAATAAACATGGAAGATAATGCTAAACCATGATGGAAGAACTGAGTTGCTGGCAGACCATTCCTTTGTACAGTATTGCTTGAGTATGAAAAACAGCTTTACTTTTGGAATCCTAATTTAAACAATAGTCAATAGTAAGTTCTATTCTAAAATTAGTTAAAGAAAGATCATTACATTACAAACCAAGTTTTTCATAGTAAATACAGGGAATTTAAGTATAGACTAGGTCATACTAGCTGTGGGACCTTAGGATGATTACTTAATTGTGCTTCAGTCTCTCATCTGTAAAACAACATTGCAATCATAAAATTCTCTACAATATCAGTTTGTTATTAGGATGAATAAGTCAAAATACATGGCGAGTGCTTGGAACAGAATTTGCCACATAGTAAACACTCCATAAATTTTAGTTCTTAGTGTTACTAAAGTTAAGATCATTATTATAGCACCCAGATTTTGGAATCTGATTTACTACCTGAGTGACATTGAGGCCACTTACCTTTTCTGGGTTGTCAGCTTTCCTGTCTCTAACATGGTTATAGAGTGAGCTAATTCATGTGGAGTTCTTGGTCCAGCACCTGGGTTGTAAGAAGAACTCAAAACATGGTTGTGGTGATGGGGTAGGGTGTTTATATGTTCCTATGTGAAGGGTACTGTGTTATACCCTAAAACTGGTTTAACCATAAGATTAGAGAATCATTTTCTCTCCTTTTCTAAATTCATGGGATGCAGATAGTGTGCTCTTGAGGACAGAGAGAAAACTGGATTTAAAAACATTTGCTTTCAATGTTTTAATAAGAAAAAATGATAAACCAGATTACTTTCCTATCGGCAGGCCATTTAGGGGTGTTATTGAAAGTTGTGTTAAAGGATTGTTAGATGTTTAATAAAAACAGCTTTCAAATTCAAGACCTCTTGAGATCTCATGTAATTTAATTCTTATGATAGATAGTCTTGAAATATTTGTATTATAGATTGTTATAAGTGGCATTGACTAAAGCAAGGCAATATAGGCAAGAGATTATATGCCTTTCAATGTCTGTTTGCTCCAGAGTGATTGAGTACTACTAAAATCTTATGAACTTCACCCTTCCTATGTTTTTCATTTTAAGTATAAATAAAGAAAGTAAAAAATGTTCAAAGAAAAACAAGGGAACACATTTGTCCCATTCAAGGACTCCTGAACTATTTTATAAAATGTTCCTTCAGAGAGCTATATGTCACATTCACTTTCAGAATGTAGTATGAAATTTGTGACAACCATGTGTAAATTTCCAAATGAGGTCAAAAGATTATGACTGAATAATAATTTTTAAAAAATCAATGCTTGGGTCCAGCAGATGGTGTAATGGTTACATCACTGGACTCCCACATGGTCAACCATGGTTTGAGTCCCGGACCCACTGACTTGAAACTTACAGTGGGCACATGTGCGTGCATGCCCAAAATCCCAAGAGGAGAATGTAGGAGAAGGGATTCTGGCATGGCCACCCCTACTCCCGGGGGTGATTTCTCACATTCTGTCTTTCTGTCTCTCTCTCTCTGTCTCTCCAGTGAGCACATGCACCCTATAGCAAAAATCTCTCTTAAAAACTGCTAAGTGATCCATTCCAGTTACACTGTTGTTTTTTTTTTAATATGAAGTGTGAGAAAGTATTAATAGCTTCATTCTAATTCATTCTGTAAAATCAATAAAGGTCTTGGTTGTAAGTATAAGGAACTACATGTAAGAAGATAGTGTGATATAGTGAAAAGAATATTGAAGGGCTAGCCATGGCCTGGTGGTTGAGGCAATTGGATCCCACATGGCCAACCACATGGTTCAAGTCTTAGACCAGGCAGTGAAAAAAATAAATCCTGCTGGACACATGTGTGTGGATGCCAAAGATCCTGAAAGGAGGGACAAATAGAGGAAAAGGCATTGTAATATGACCATCCCCCATAGGGAGGTGCTTTCTCTTTTTCTCTGTATGTATCTTTGTCTCTGTCTTTGACAAGTTAGAGAAAGAAGACACACTCCTGGCAAGTTAAAAAAAAATTAAAAAGAATATTGGAGCAAATAGTGAGAATCTTGACTTTAAACTTAAACTCAGCCATTATTTGACCATATTTTCTTGGGAAAACCATTCAACTTCTTTCAATTTAACTTCTCCTCATTCTTAAAATGAAACAGTTCATTTGTTTAAGGTCACATTCAGTTCAATCCTATGATTCTGTATCTGGATACCTGAGGGGGATACCTATATCACAAAGTATAATTTAGAACTGTTGAGTTGTCAGGAAAGTCGTGACGCATTTTTGCATGGAAAAACACAGAAAAAATATGCCGTAATTTTCCTGATGATGTAATATAACTAAATTTGAAGTTGCTTCCTCTATTCATAATACAGATGTGGCTTGTTGGAATTATGTTTCCCCGTCTATAACTCTAGATTTAAATCTGTCATCTCCAAACCTACATATACAGTATTTTTTTATATTAAATAGTTCAATTAATCTGTGGTATATGTTCTTATTTTATCACATTTCATGTTTCTATTTTTAAGCATGACCTTAAGGGTATGCTCAAAAAGTATTTTTAGCAGAAAGCTGATAAATCCAAGGTTTTGGTTTCTGCATAACCAGGTCATATTGATTCCATTTTTTTCTTTGTCCATAATCTAACCACTGTGCTATATTATAAATGGGAACCCTTGTGTAGAGAGTAAACAAAGCAAGAAATGAGGTTCACACAACCTTATTCTCGTTATTGGAAGAACAACTTGTACATACTGTCAAGACATTTAACATTTAGAAGAATGAATGTCAGAGTAACTACTTATCCCACTCCTGTAGTGGGAAGCTTGAGCCCACCATCATTATGACATCATATGTCTATAAAAATAATTTAGTCACTTGCATTACTATGTCAGTCACTAAAGCCAGGATTAAAAACCAACTACAGAGCCAGCTGGTGGTATGGGACTGGATCCCACATGACTGGCCATGTAGATTAAGTCCCTGATCCAATGGCTTGGAGAACACACTGGGTACATGTGCATGCATGCCCGAAATCTCAAGCAGAGAATGGAGGATGGGAGATTGTGGCATGGCCATCCCCCCCCGGGGGTGATTTCTGACTCTCTCTCTTCCCTGTCTCTCTGTGGCCAGTGCATGCACCCCATGGAAAAACTTAGGGGGGAAAAAAAGGTACAGATTCATCTTTGCACCTGTCTGTTAAGGTGAAGGAAAACTGAAAAAATAGAGAGTTATACTAGTGAAAAGGCAGATATAAATGTGAAAAGAGAAAAACAGTGTTAAATTTGGTCACAATAGTATAATAGAAGGAATAGGGTTACATACTTTGAGAATATCCTGGGCTTAGTACATGAGCCATTAATTCTGCTTTTCGAAGAAAGCCTTGCTGGTTTTTCAGTTGTATGCAATATCAGTCAAACTGATGGAAACAGGAAATCTATATAGCTGTACCCATCGACAGTAGAGAAAGGCACAGTCACAATTCACTCATACATAGAAAAGGAGCACATGCAAGAAGCCTTCAAAACCATTATGGAAAATGCACGTTATATAAAAAAAAAAAACTATCCATAGATTTCAAAAATATTTTGCACCCAAATAAACCTGTATTTAATTTCATTTTTCTATAAATGTTATGAAGTCCCCTTGTAGAGGGTTCTGGAATTATTTTGGATCCATAGATAATACGAGACATTGGTTTGCCTATTTGAAACTTTCTGTAGGAATGAAATTTCCCATAGAAAGGGTTAGGGTAGGGTTAGAAAAACTGGCAATCCTTGTTGTTACAAAGCGTTCTCACTTACATTGACTCATTTAACCCTCAAAACACTAAAAGGGACCAGCAGATGGTGTAATGGTTACTTCGTGGGACTCCCACATAGTAGACCACAGTTCAAGTCCTGGACCTGGCAGTTTAAAACAGCCGGGCACGTATGAGTGCATGCCCAAAATCCTGAGAGGAGAATGGAGAAGAGGGGATTGTGGCATTGCCATCCCCCCATGGGGTGATTTCTCACTTTCTGTCTCTCTGTCTCTCTGGAGAACACACACAACCTAAAGCAAAAAATCTCTCTCTCAAAAAAGAGCACTGTAATGATGTATTATGATTATGCTTACATGTTATCATTATTCCTCTTTACAAGTAATGAAACTGAGACTAAAAACCATTCAATGACAGCCAGCTGGTGGTGTGGTGGTTAAGGTGGCCAGACGCCACACAAATAACCACACAGTTTATATGTAGACCTGATGACTTGAGAAATATACCAGGTGCATGTGCAAATTGTCCAAAAACCTCAAAATGTGAAATTGAAGAAAAGGGATTGCAACATAACCATCCCCCATGGGGGTGCTTTCTCACTTTCTTTCTCTCTCTATCTCTGCCTCCAGGGAATGCATGCAATTTTTAAAAAAATGATAGTCACATAGCTTGTGTCAGTCAAGATTTAAATCAAGTCTTCTAAACTGTGACTTTCATACCATTTTTGTTTCCTCTTCTCAAAGTTCTATTAAGTTTGGACTTCACAAAGTCATACTTTAAAGCTAGGTTGGACATCAGAAATGCGAATTACTTCACTTTTTTTCATGCTTGCCCTCTTTTTAAAATAATTCTCTGGTGTATTAACTTTAAAATCTTCCTTTTACAAGCCAATGGATTAATGAGCCTAGTTCAGTGTACCCCTTAAAATCACACTTGTAGTTTTGGATATAAAATTTTAAAGCATTATATTCCTCATTGCCTTTAGAACTCAGCAATTGTATTAAAATCAACC